ATCTGATATTTCATTAGCGAGCTTCTCCGTTGACTGCTTCCCACTCTGCAACGAAAGCACACACCGCTCAAGCCTTGTGATTTTTCGTGTATTTTGAAGTTCCCAGATAACCAGCTGACAATATGTTGGCAACTCCATCCTCTGATCCTCCATGCATACAGAACCAACGAAAACAGGACCGATAAAACCAAGATAGTCGATCAGTAACCGTTGTTCGAAAACATCTCGCACCAGATGCCCGTGTGGGGAGCACAGTAGAAGATGTTTATCACGAATGAGATGTTAGCACCACATCCATTCATTGGAGATTTGGCTCCATTGGTATCGTCGTTGTTTCTTCTTCCCGATCACTTCTTCGCCTGTTTGTAGATTCTGATGAGTGTAAGTCGTCTGTCATGAAAATGGATTTGGATTTCATATCAGCTATTTTTTCTCAAGGTTATGTTCACTACCTTAAGGAAAAATTATTAACGTAATCCTAGAATGACTGCAAACACTTGCATCAGTGTCAGGTTCACAGCAGTAGCCTGGTGTTCAGTAGGCATTAACTGTTTGTCTAACGGGGCATTCATTCAGAAACACAGTCTGTTCGAGGGGACCTATGATTATGATTATGGCTATCCCCCCCCGCGTCTGCCGATATAGTGGAATAAGCATTGGAGCAGCAAGGCTTCCAAGGAACGCCCAGGTCGAAGACTTGGAACTGCAGCGCTTCCTGTTCCTCTCACGTCAAAGACCAGACATTTCATTTTCAAAGAATAATGCATAGTTTAATTATCGTCTAAAATCTTGAGCTTTCTGAGGACTTTATCTAACTTCGCGTTACCCAAAGTTGTGGCTGTAAGAAAAAGTGAATCACTGATCAAGTGGTCATCTCAGTGCTAGTACCTTCGAACAGCAGGAGAGTACAACGTCACAGGGAAACCAAATATAACATTGCTGAATCTGTCGAAAGGTGAGGTTGTGGACTGGCCTTAGCCAATGCTTTTGTAATGACTTGTGGCGGATAAACTTAATATCAGAATAAAAATATCATTTACTACAATCTATCCACTGCTATTAAGCCAGAATAAAAATACAACGCAGGTATATCGAGTTACTAAAGAGCCTCGTTTTAGGCCAAAGAGCGTGTTAAATCACTTGTGAAACGAAGTCTGAGTAAAGAGAACTCAGATTCTACAACTAAAAACTTTCGAACAAATAATACTGATGCAAAACAACTAATTCGGCTTGATGAATAAATGATCACTTACTCCGCCACGTCCAACAGGGGACGGTTGGTGAACATTATTCCACACTGACCGATCAACTGTTTGCCAACTTTACTTAGATTAAGATGGCACTCATCTTTTGACGTCTTTCCAAAGGCAGCGGCAATTACTTTATTTCGGCCAAAAAGGAACCTTAATTTCACTGTAAAATAAGAATCACTTTCAAAGCGTACCTGTCGTCTGAAAAATGTTTTCTTAATTCGGCAAGCCTCGAACTCCGGCTGTTGTGCACAGTGAAAACAACAATATTCGAATACAAGTCAACAAGCTTTCGAACTTCCTTCATCAGATTTTCTTTCATAAGACGCCCTTTCTTCTTAACTTTCGTCAGGGATACTAGAACTACGTGGTTAGAAACTTCAAACTCGATTTTCGGTTACCTTCTTTATCTCGTTTTGACTTCGGCATCTGGAAGTAGCAGAAAGACAGAACCAAGAACACCCTTAAAAAGTCTACTGGTTAATAAAGCCAATGGCAAACCATAAAATAAAATTTAGCCTCATCGTTAAACAAATTTGTTCCTAACAGCTTAAAATAAAACAACGGTCAAATAGTTATATCAATAAGTGAGAAAATCATTCGATATATTTTTGGTCAAAGGAAAGGTCCGTTGCTGATCTTATTAAAGCATGAAATCTCTTCAAACATTAGGTGGCAATAGAAAAGAATATGAAGACAGAAAATGTGCAATGAAACTCGCAATGAAAGATGAAGATGAAACTCGCAGTACTTTGACCGCGTAACCGCACTTCTACAGCAGTACAGTACGCAGCTAACTTGCTGTTCACTTTCCGCAATACTGTTCGTTGCAAGGTGAGAAATGAGAAAAACTCTAAATATTTCCTTAAGTTTTCGATTCTGGGCCCAAAATTACGACGACGAATCTTTGAACAATTCATGGTTCGGGGCA